TTAAAAACTTTAATCTGCAAAAATTTAAATGCAACGCCAATCGCTATCTATTGTCCTCCTGATTACTTTTCCCTCTTCCTTTTTATTATTAATGTTTCTGTTCTTAATTCTCCCACATCCTGTAAACCCTTGTGTCTTAGTGGCTTTATTGCCACGCATCGGATGAGACCGATTAAAAAAAATAAAAATAACGTAAAAATGTTTGAAAGTAAAAAAAAAAAAAAATACCAGGTTAGTTCAAATTTTACAACCACTAAGCAGTGACCAATAAATCCGTGTTTCTATTCCTAGAGGTTTATGGGGATAGCCAATGTCACAAAGTTTGATAAAGAGAAAGGAAACTCTGATTTCAGAGTCGCTAAAAACGAAGTCTCCGAAGTAAAATCTTATTGATGCAGATTACAAGAAGATTATCAGTTAAGAGAGAAAAAGAATAAAACACTGTTGTCCTGCTCTGAAACAAGAAGATATTTTTTCTTAAATATTAAAGTGATATCTGTCTATAATTCTGAGATGAGTCATTCTACTTATTTACAGTATTCTCATTGTTCCAGGCTGTTGTACTCATCTTTGTTGCGATTGTCATGACGTTTCGGCCGTTGTATGCTCCGACCTTCTTCAAGTGATTGGAATTTCGAACCGAACCCGTTATTTCGTCCAACGGGGCAGATTGCTCTCTCTCTCTCTCTCTCTCTCTCTCTCTATATATATATATATATATATATATATATATATATATATAGTGTAACCCGGATATAAGAGACCCGGATATAAGAGAAAGTCGGATATAAGAGAGATTTTCTCTGGTCCCAACTTAGAGCCTGTGTTAATGTATATAAAATAGATCAAACCCGGATATAAGAGAAACCCTGATATAAGAGACTTCTTCTCCCGTCCCGACAACTCTCTTATATCCGGGTTACACTATATATATATATATATATATATATATATATATATATATATATATATATATCACTTACCCGGCGCTCAGGCATGTACACAGGTTTGTGCTGAGGCATTTGTGAACCGCATCTCAACTCTCTAAATAATTTATTCTGGAAGTCAAACTCGGGACTCTTCTCTGTTTTTTTTTTTTGTTTGTTTTTTTTTTAATATGTGTAGATAGGCTTTCCTATCGCCCGGTTCATATCCGCTTCTCTTGAACAGGAGTAGAGGCCCACCCCTTGTTATGTGTTTAGGAATGGGTTCCCGGTTCCTTTCCTTTTCTCGGGCCTTAATATTGGTGTTGCATGATTTTTTTTTATATATGTGTGGATGGTGACAGCGTCTATTCATTTGGACGGTACAGAGTTGGCAGTTTTCTGGTTGCTGCTCCCGACTGGTAGTTAGGAGCCCGAACTCATGCGTAGCGTTTTGAGAGACTGCTCTGATCAACAGCTACATAATATAGGGCTTCTTGTAATTTGTATCGCGCATGGAAGGGTGTCTCTGCAAGCATCTTTGGTAGGCAACCCCGAGGTCACACTATATTGCAGTCTGTGCCTGTTCCCTTCCTGCAAATGTTACATTAAACGACCGACTGCTACTATTACCCTGGGCCTTTCCTTAACAAAATAACACACCATGACTATAAGCAACCAAAGATGTAAAACTAAATCAGCTCGACAAAAACCTTAAAACCCTTAACCTATGTTTTTCCAATATTCGTAGTATTCCCACCAACTTCTGCGGTGTGGAATCGTTTCTCTTCGAAAAGTCCCCGGACATACCAACTCTCAGTGAAACTAATCTTAACTCTTAAATCCCCAGCTTGTTGGAAATTCTCCTCTTTAGTTCTTGTTTCTAAGAAATCCAGAAATCTTCTGACCCCTCTAACTATCGTTCTATTAATCTCCCACCGCTTCTCGGCAAAGTATTCGCGGCTTTAATCAATGGTGAAGTGGTTAAGCACCTTAAATCTCACGACCTACTCTCTGACAAACAATATGTATTCCGTTTTGCTAGGTCTACTGCTGATGTACTTAAGTCTACAGTATTACAGGACGATTTTTTGATTTAATCCATTCATCCCTATCAGATCGTGAAATAAAAGTCATTTAGAATGGGCTCGCTTCCAGATCCTTTCACACGAATGCGGTTGTGTCTTCCAATGATCTATCCTGGGTCCTACACTGTTGATGATCTTCATCAATGATCTTCCTGATGTCATCAGTTCTCAAGTAGGCATCTATGCAGATGACACTATATATATATATATATATATATAGAGAGAGAGAGAGAGAGAGAAAGAGAGACTGAGAAAGAGAGACTGAGAAAGAGAGGCATGTCACATAAAGAGAGAAAGAGAGAGAGTGTTTAAACTTTTAAATCTATTTTGAAATAGCAAGACAGGCTAGGCTCTTTAGATTTGGTACTACAACCAGTCTAGGCGATGAACAATTATGAATTCCAAACAAACCCAATGAGGGATGGGCTCCGCCAGACTCTGTTTCCCTAAACATATCCACTGTTTCTACGGTATATTTGAGGCTCTTACGTTCGTAAATGGGTTACAGGATCCGTGACTGAGATCGTGAATATTTACTGTAGACATCAGAATTTCTTTGCGTTTTCATTTCGCCCCCGAATAAATGATAAAAAAAATCCGAAAACCTTCGATTTGCTTCTTACAGTCAGAACTTGATTTTGGAATCCGGCAACTTAGAAACGTTAATTATCGTTGTATTTTTTTTTTTTTTTTCGAAACTCGTTATTCACCACAGGAACTGTAGTTTCTAATTTTTTATCCCTGCACCACCTTACTCCTCCCCCTCTCTCTCATTGCCAATCTTTATCAGGTTCTTCTTTGTATAAAGAACTTATTTCGCACAAAGATGTCCATTCAATGAATCTTAAGGGTTCTTCAGTGCATCCTTTCTTGCCCGTACTAATTAGAAAGGTCGTTACAGTTTTCTTTTTTTTAATTTCCTATTTTTAATTCCTTAATAAGTCCTCGTTTCTGGCTTTTTCTGTATTTGTTGTACTCATTTTTTTTGTTGATTTTTTTTTTTGCAAAATCTCTTTTTCTATTTCCCCCATGTTTCGTGCCATTTTTTAAAAATCTGCTTTTATTTCTGACCTGAAATTTTTATTCCCCTCGGAAAATTCTCTTTCTCTTACTTTTTGTTATTTCACTGTATTTTCTTTTCATTCCTTTCCAGTTTATTTAGCTGCTCTCTTTTTTATTTCATTTTCTCGATTTTCATCTCGGCCCCTTTCTGAACTGATATATCTTAAAAGAGCAAACAGTATGACAAAGCGATGAAAGTTCACAGCATTTAACCTCTACGTACTAATTTAAATGACAGCGTATTTTGTCGAACTATTATTAATAAAAGATTTTCAAACGCGCGTTTTTAAATTTATTTTTCCAATTATAATATTAATATGGAGTAACACTGTACAGGATCTATTTATTATTTAATAGCAATTGGTGATACAAATACCACTTCTTGACCAATAAAACCTAAAATTGCATCAGCTCAAAAATAGTAGATTTTGTTTAGTAGTAGATTTTGTTTCACAGGTTTTTATTTGAAATATATATTTTCCAATGACTATATTAATGTGTAATAGTTCTTTATTATTATTGGAAAGTTTTCACAAGTTTTTGTTTGAAATATATATTTTCCCATAATTATATTAATGCGTAATCATTCCTTATTATTATTAGAACGTTTTCAATGTTTAAATTTGAAGTATATTTTTCCGATGATTATATTAATGTGTAATAATTCCTTACGTTATCATTTTGTAATTTAATAACATTAGAAAACCGTTATCATATTTATATCCAATAGAATCACCTGCTCCCAAAACTGATGACTTATTTTCTTACGCCCTTATTATTAGAAGTTTTTCACGTGTACGTTTTTAAATATATGTTTCCAATGAATATTTAATGTCCAATACTTCCTGACAAGATCATTTTATTATTTAATAGCATTAAAAAACCGAGCGTCATTTTATACCAAGTAAAAATATATACAAGTATTAGTTTAAGTAGGCTATAAAAGAGACGGTTTATTGTGCTAAGGCAGTGTTGTAATGGATAGCGGCTCGAAATGGGAAACTGGAGCCGAGTTCGAATTACAGTCTGGTTCATTACATTCACTTATGCTTAGATTAATCTTGGGAAAGATATAAACCTATCTCTTTCCATCCCTAGCTATGGGTTAAATAGTACGACATGTATCTGCAATTGTTAGTGCAGTATTAATTCGCAAGAAAAATAATTATTCTCATAATTCAAAATATGGCTCATTTTAAAATAACCCACAAAGGGTCGATAAGCCGTAAAAACAAAACAAAGTAATCAATAAATTTTGTTAAGTTCTTATCACTTTTAAACTTTGTATGTAAATTTTGAAATATATTTCCCCACTTTTTGCTCTTTTTATATCCGCTTTCATTTTGTCAGTGCTTTTACTTAGCGATTTCATTATCATCTTGGAAAAGCTATCCATTCTCATAAGAATGACACTGCCATACGGCGTCGACACCATAAAGTTAATAACTATACTACAGTAAAATTAAAGAGATTACAGACAAAATATATACAAATATTCTTAACATTTTCCGTTCCTGCATCTCTTTCGCCACATTTTGTAGTTTACAACCCACTTTTGAATTCATAGTACCTATGAACCATAATAGTTGGTACATTTGCATATGCATTTTTGTACACAAAATGTAACAATTATTTTGGGACAGAAGCAGAACATTATATATATATACAACATCTGTCCCATAATAGTTATCCCATTTTCATAAAAATTTCACACACATAATGTGACAACTATTTTGGGACACAGGTAGCACATTATATTGTACAACATATTTCCCGTAATAATTGTGCCATTTTCATATAGATTTCATAAGAATAACGTAACAACTATTTTGGGACAGAGATAGCACATTATATTTTAAAACTCCTGTCCCATATAATAGTTGTTCCATTTCCATACTGATCTCATAAGAATAATGTAGCAACTATTTTGGGACCAACAATTATACAACTTTTGTCCCATAATAGTTGTTCCATTTTCCTATATATTCCATACACAAAATGTAACAACTATTTGGGGACAGGGTTAGCAGTCAATTTTCCTGCCTAATGCTGAAGTGGAAAAGAAATTATAAAATGTCTTTCTTCTGTCGTCTTCTCTGTAAATTCGTAACTGTGTCTGCTCCTATCTCCTCTTCAGGTTCATCCTCTCTATTTTCTCTTTATCTTTTTCTCTCCATCTCTTTCTTTCTTTCTCCCTCCCTTTCTCTCTCTTTATCCCCTCCCTCTCTCTCTATCTAGCTATCTATCTAATTTTTGTTTTTCTTTCTTATTCTCTTATTACATTTTTCTCTTTTTTTTGGGGGGGGGGACCATTTCGATATTTCCTCATTAAGCAGAAAATAATATTTCCTCCACGCTATTTGATTTCTTTCATTGCCGTTATAAATGCCGATCGTTTGCCTGTTTCAATCTTAGTTTTCCTCTTTTCTCTCCATTTTTTTTTTCAATATCTTCATTCCTTTGAAATTTCCGAAAAGCCTGCCGTTGTCTGAAATACAGAAGGCAGAAGAGTATGCGTGCAAACATGAGTGTAACGACGACGCCATTTTGTAAAATGAGATCGTATTTTACTCTCTGGTACTTACGTGCAACAGAGTATTGTTAGATCGATGAACAAAGGAAAGCGTTCTGAAAAACAAAAGACAGACGAGAGAACAATCGGCAAGTTTTCCACGAGAAAAAAAATGTCGTTCTCTCAGACATACAATAATGACTATAAAATCTGTAGTAGTTTTGGACTAAATACTCTTGTCTCACTTAAGGGGTTTGGACTCGGAAAATATTTTCATAGATTTTTTTTATGTTCCCAGAGAGCATTTCAAGTAGTTTCCATATTTAACATCCGTACAGTGAGATGATTTTTGAATATGTCTTCTTTTTTCCGTGCCAAGTACTTTCGAATATGGCTCTCCAAATATCCGTGTCGCCTTTGATTATTTTTTTTTTAACATTACCGTCTTTGTCATTTTTTTTAACAATATATTCACGCAAACTAGTTAACTAGGTTGGATATTGCTTCTCTCTGCATTCACTTCAATATTTCCTGTGAGTATTATATTCTTTATGTCGTCTTTCCTCATTATGTGTAAATTTCTACAGGCTCTTTCTTTACTGTTAATATTTTTCATTAGATTTCCCTTTTACTCACATGCTTTTTACTCTAAGCGTGATTGTGTGGTTAGAACGTTCACCATGAGACCCGGGTTCGAATCTCACCATGGTCGATTTGTCAGGAAGGAGACTTCTCCATGTTATCGGACTGGAGGGGTCAATCCCATGCGTTTATCTAAGCCTTGTGAATGAAATTAGGTAGACAGAACTCTTGGGGCCGTCGATATCTGTGCTAGCACGAAATTACATATCATCGTGGCCGAAGGCTTGAACGCGCTGGCGGGGCTACTATAGCGTGAGGTCTATCTCAATATAGTGTGAGGTCTACCTCAATATAGCGAGAGGTCTACATTCCACATCGTCTATAGCATGAAGTCTACCTCAATATAGCGTGAGGTATACATCCAGTTTCGTCTATAGCGTGATGTCTACCTCAACAAAGCGTGAGGTCTACATCTCGTTTCGTCTACAGCGTGAGGTCTACCTCAATACAGCGTGAGGTCTACATTCTATTTCGTCTATAGCGTGAGGTCTATCTCCCGTTTCACCTGTTTAGAAAATATGAAACAGATATAAATATCCATGTTAGACTTTAGCTGACCTGATAGCTACATGAAGGATGGTCACGGCATATTGAGGTAGACCTCACGCGATAGTAGTACCGTTGTTCAAATTGTTGATCACGCTAGATAACACGCTCTTTCCCAGAAACTGTAACTAAGGTCTACTTCTGTTTAAAATGCCGGAGTTGGGTGTGGGCCGGGCGATAGGCGAACCTATCTACTCCTATTGGTGGAGGAAAGATTATCTAGGGAATAAAAAATTATCTAGGGAATAAAATTTCAGAATGCAGGCGATGGCATTAAAAGATTAGAGTTGAAGTACAATTTAGAAGGAACCGGAAACCCAATTCTAAACAAGAAACAAGTTATAAACCTCTACTTCTGTTCAAAAGACTTGGGGGAGTGTGAACCGGGCGATAGGCGAATCCATCTACCCCTACTTGGTTTTGCCTCTATAGACAAATTCTAATTGTTTTTGGGCCATGAAACAAGTCAGTTTATTTTCACAGTGTTAAAGCTAATCTAGATTAAACCGTCCCTCTCTCTCTCTCTCTCTCTCTCTCTTTCATATATATATATATATATATATATATATATATATATATATATATATATTGTGTGTATTTAGGCAGCATCTTTTCATTAATACATGTTTCATTAAATAATATAGACAAGTGTTGTCTATTTATTTTATGTAAATTTTTTTCATAACGTCTGATAAGTTTAATAACATTATCGTTGAACGAAGAAAGAAATTCACAATATTGATCCATATTTTTTAAATACAATCTAAGCTTTCGGCTTACATAAGCCATTATCAAAGATGTCAATTACAACATATTAAGCAATATACGAACAAGACAGTGATGATAGTCTGTCATTGTTTACATAGATGATTTCTAAGCAACGATAAACACGTGCATATAAGACGCTAGAAGCGAAAATCGCACCGCATCTCATGACGTCACACATGACCACAGGAGAGTGAATTGGAGAAGTATGAAGTATGGGAAGCCGTTGGTATAAACCAATGGCTTCTGTTACCAATTATAGACATTTAATAATATTTGTAGAGATGCCATAATTGATTTTGTTTAGGTTGGGTTTAATGTATTCAGTTTTTTTATAATTTTAAATCGGTGTTCAACGATAATATTATTAAACTTATCAGACGTTATAAAAAAAAATTATATAAAATAAATAGACAACACTTGTCTATATTATTTAATGAAACGTGTATGAATATATATATATATATATATATATATATATATATATAAATGTAAATGGCAATAGGAAAACTGTAATAGTTGCCAACGCGTTTCGTCCAATGTGAACTTTCTCAAGGCAAAAAACGAAATGAATTTATTTAAACAAAATAACTAATAATAACAAAAACAAAATGTCCTTAGCAACTGGAAGAATTTAGAGAACGCTATTTTCATAATGTTAACTGAAAATTATGTCAGTTACTGTCACGTGTGGAGATATTGTTTTTATTGCTGTGTTGACGGATTCAACTATTTTCTTTTAACTTTACGATATTGTTGTGTACGATTATTTGGGAGAGCAGTAATTTTGTTATGGTGAAATAGAGAAAAGGCCTGGGTGTACATTAATATTTCGGTAATATTCAATGACGGCACTCTCTAGAGTGTAGAATTTTTAAAATAAAAATGTTGTTGGATTTACCAGTGCATTAGCTAACTTTTTTTGTGAGGTCTCTTTTCAGTTAAACGTACGAAAATAGTGTTCTCTAAATTCTTCCAGATGCTAAGGACATTTTGTTTTTGATATTATTAGTTACTTTGTTTAAATAAATTCATTTCGTTTTTGCCTTGAAAAAAAGTCCACATTGACGAAACGCGTCGGCAACTGTTACAGTTTCCTATTGTTTTTTTCATTTATAAATATTGTCTTTTTTACAGGTTAACTCTGAGAAATTTTCATATATATATATATATATATATATATATATATATATATATATATATATATATATTAGGAATCAGGCTAATATTATGTTATAAAAATTCAAGTTAAATGGTGAATGTGCTTTTCATAACCATTATTCCGGTAGGACTGAGCAAATCAAGAGGCCAAAGCAGTGAGGACTTTGCCCTCTGATTCACGAATAACTTTCAGTCGCTTCGTGATTGCAAGAAAATAGATATCGTTTTGGCTTATGAGAAATGGACCGGAAGCAACATTTCCACAGAATTACGTTGACAAGACGTCGATCCATCTGCGGGTGGAACACATACACTTGAAAAGTCATTTCCTTTCATTCTGTAAGGAAAGAAGATGAACGAAGCAGAAGAATGTGTTCGTGGGAGGAGATCTCCCATTGCAGCCACTCTCTTTAATACATTCGCTTTTTAAATACAACGCACTTGCAGATTCTTATAATTGTATGGACGCACGGGTGCACATTAAAATGAATCGGATTTGTACCCATGAATTCGTCGAAGACAAGGAAAAAATTCATATCAGAGACTTTCACTTTATAGTTGTTGAACAATCCGTATAAAGTCAGGAAGAATTTAACTATATTCTCTTTCAATATATATTTTTCTTTTCCGTCTTTTCCTCTTCTCACTAACTACATCTCAGTGTTCATTATCTATCTATCTATCTATCTATCTATCTATCTGTTATGGTCCGGTTCCTTGTACCACGGTGATAGTCCAATAAAGAAGAACTCGAATACGGATATGGAATAACACAGATATATTACAAACAGGAATATATACAGAGAAGTAGAAAGTGTTAGTACGAACAATCAGGTTAGTAGTAATTGTCTGAACGCGACTCTGTTTCGGACTGCCTCTGACTCGACTGACTGACTCGCTCGCTCTGACTGACTGACAGACTCCCGACGGACTTCACTCCAGACTTCAGACTGAACTCGACTCTGTTTCGAACTGCCTCTTGAGGCGCAGTATTTATTACGTATGGTATAGTCCATTATGTTATTATGGGTAAGGTCCCATTACACTATCTATCTATCTATCTATCTATCTATCTATCTATCTATCTATCTCAATCTGTTCATAGCTATCTATCTATATCTGTATTCGCATCTGTCTATCTATCTCTGTTCATATCTATCTCAGTTTGTTACTATCTATCTATCTATCTATCTATCTATCTATCTATCTATCTATCTATCTATAATAATGGTGAATATAATGAAACGTAATTGTACTTTATATTTTAAGAATAAAGTTAATAAATAAAAATGGAAATGATTTATAATTCAAAATAATAAATTAATTAGATGTTGGGGTCAGTTTATTCCCTTGCTGATAGATTTTTTTTTACTCCTGTGGCAATGGAGACTTCTGGGGTTATTGGCCCTCGTTCGATGGCGTTCCTTCGGAGGATTGACGCGATTGGGTCTCGATTAAGGGACAATCCTCGTAAAACAGAGTGGCTCTTGCAGCGTGTCTCACTGGCGATGGTTCGAGGTAATGCTTTCTCCATCATTGCGGCTAGAAGATGATAGCAAAGAAAATTGTTCATAGTTTCTGGAATTGTCATCAATGGTCAACCTGAACTTGCTTTGTTTCAATAAATTTATTGTTTTCAATTAATCAACCCACCATATCTGTGGCATTAAAGTTTTACTTTACGTTGGAAAATAATGATCGTTTTTTTCTTTTTTTCTGGAAAAGTCTTCATATGAGGGTATGATACACAACAATAACAATTGTCCCATGATTAACTAAGTTTATTCTTTTAATAATAATAGAAATCATTTCTTGTAGAATCTCATATTAATGTTAATTTATTATCCATTGCCATAAAAAAATGTTGGTATATTCTTTATTATTTTGAGAATATTTCTCAATGTGTGTCTTCTAGTTATCTTTAATTATTATTTTCTTATTTTGCTCTTGCTGCCATAATCGCCTCATTTTGCACCAAGCGATTATCATTAGCTTTTCCAATAATTGCAAAAACGCTCGCATGGAGAAAACTTTCTCTAATAACAAACAAGATTCAAGAGTTCATCAAAAACTTTCTCATATTAAAACCTACTAAATGTTTATCCAAATGTATCAAAGAGCCACCCGATACATGATCAAGGTCATTGAAATAAATAGCGAATATATATATATATATATATATATATATATATATATATATATATGTATATAACAGAGGATTTCTGTGTTTGTGTCTGCCTGTCTGCCTGCGTGATACCTTTTCACCGGAGATCCATCGAACCGATTCTGACCAAAAATGGCACATACATTGTACTAGGTAAGAGATAGGTTCTAGCGTAAAAAATCGATAATTTAAAAAATCAATAATGGATAAAGCCGGTTAAATATCGATAAATTCAACTTTTTCCCTCCGATTTCGTTCAAACCCGGTATGTAGGTTACTTACATCATGACGAGCTCAACGATACCTAATTTTTATTTCTATGCCACCGCATTTAGCGAAAAACAAAAAGTGATTTCAACACGAATTTTAAACTAAATTCCTTCAATTTTCAAGCAATCTAATACAAACTTCACTCAATTTTAACCAACAATAAGTTAATTGTTTAACAGTCATTTAACTTGATAATTGAATCCATCCATATAGTGAAAACCCGCCTCAATAGCGAAAAATGGCGATTTTTACTGGTTTCTTTCTTATTTTTCGTTGATCTTTCAACCAATTTTCATCAAAGTTAACAATTGCTTTATAAATGTATCCTCTTTCACATCCCTTGCAGCCCAATGACAAATTGAATTTCAAAAACTCCAAAATATTTTTGGTTTGAAGTGGGTCTTCATGTTGCCTGTTTTACCCCTTCATGTCCTCGGCTAACTTTGATTGAATAAATACAGATTACTTCTGTTATATCAGAAACTGCATTAACTCAAAATGTTTTTTTTAATGAAAGTACTTTAAAGTAATCGAAGAAGATTGACTCTGTTACATCTAAACATGATGCTGTTTTTGCTCCATTCTAATTGAACGCTTTTTTTCTGATCGACCAGATGGGTATGGCTGCTAGTAATTGAATAAAATGCAATTGTTCTTTATTTTCTGGAGAATAAAACTGATAAACCAAACGGAAATTATTTATGACTCACCCTATTACACTCGCATGGAAAATATATTTAAAGAAATGTACCTGCAGCTTTCGTCATCCCCTCTTGTCATAGCACAGTAACAAATGGCCAGGTATCCATAAGCTTTTAACACTGCATGAACAATGTGGTCAGTCGTCTGTTAAACTTTCAAAATCCTCGATAATAAAAGGCGTCATTTTCGAATTTATAAACTAGCGGACATTTTGATTTTCACACTTTTAAATACGATGTAGTAAATCGGATGATGAGTTAACGTGTGGCAAGGCAATATAATCGATCAAGAATTATGGATAAGTGTTTATAATCTTACACTCTGACACTAAGCTATGCACACACAAGTAGGAGAGGTTAGGGGTGGCTCCGAAAGCTGATGAACCAAAAGATGTCAGCACTCTTTAAACGGCGACATTGTATATAGTTCCGAAGGCCAGATTGTGATGAGTCACCGTATAACCTTATCTGACAAGGAAGCCTCTGGCATTTCTTATCAAATCGTAAGAAATTAGAATTTCATCTTTTGATGTCGTCACTGATTTCTTTACGTGTAAGCTGCTTACTTGCAAAATTCATTTATTTGTAAAATGTTTCTGAATTACCTTATATTATTCAAGTGCCTGAATATTTCTTATGAGGATAAGATGAAGTTTATTTTAATTGGTTACACATTTGAATATTTCTACTAATTTTAGTTTAGAAATGTGATTAATGCACACAATAGACAATTACTCGTTCGATACCGATTGCTTCGCTGACGCCAAGATGATCAAATTTAAAATCCAAATTATTTGTTCATTTAAAATACAAATTAATTCATAAAGGTCATTTTCCTGGCCGTGCGAATAGTGTAATACTTAATGACTCTGAAAGAGAAACCAGCGAGCCGAGTTCAAATAAAGACATGAAATATAGCTGTTCTCCGCCCAACTATGGGCTAAAGAGTTGAACCGACTGAGTTTAAGGTGGCAACCAGTCTAAAAGTAAGAAACCATTCAATTGAAAACGAGCCTGAAAAAGAATATGCTCCGCCAGTCGAACTTGTCCTAGATACCACTGTTGCCATACCTGCAGTACATCTGGTGCCCCTACGACCGGAATGGATTATATGACTTTATAGAGACAGCTTTACTTAATTACGCATACGGACAAGAATAGATATTTTCCCCTATCGCCCTGTTCACACATCTCCCCTGTCTACATCTTTCTATATTTCTGCAATGAGGTATTGTAACTATATACACTATTTACATTTACATCTTTATTGCCATATTCACGACGTTTCGGACGTTACAACAACCGGCGATCTTCTTCAAGATATATCTCTATTTCTGAGATGAGATATTGTAACCATTTACATTGTTCAGGCTGTTGTCCTCATCTTTATTGCTACAATCACAACATTTCGGACATTGTAAGCTCTGGCCTTCTTCAGGTGATATATATTAGAACTTCGAACCGAAATATTTATTTAGTCCACAGTAGTAGATTGTTCTAGTTCCACGTGTCATGCCTCTTCTGGATATCTCAGTTTTCAGTTAATTTCCCTCTAGTAACTCAACTCAAGTTTATATATATATATATTGTTGTGTCGTGGCACAATAGTAAAAATAAGAAAATCAAGTCGAAGTTGGTTTAAAGAACAAGTGTATTTAACATCACAGATACAAAGGTAGGAAACGGGTACTACTCAGCTAGGCAGTTGTAGTACTGTCGCTGCTTACCCCGGGTAGGTATTACTGGCACTATATGTAGTGAGAACCGGTGTAATTCCCTTGTGTTAGAGGCCGGTGCAACATATATATATATATATATATATATATATATATATATATATATATAAATTAAGCAGTTCACCCTAGCAAGGCGGGAGTGCCACTAGCATGCAAGGCGTTACATAGAGTGAAAATAAGAGTAAAGAGGGGTGTTTAAGGAAAAGATAAAGAGAAGGACATGGAGTAAGATTAAGGCATCAGAAGATATCAATTGACATTATATTTACATATTTGAAGATTATAGCTATCAAGGAAGCATGTAAAGGAAATGGTGTTCCACTGTCGGGAAGTGCGAGAAAAGAAGATGTTGGAGTAGAAAAAGCAGTTACATTTAACTGTTCCGACAGTGAAAGGGTGGGACCGAGATGCAGTTGGGGTACCAGTGAAAGCTCCTCTGAGCAGTTGCCATGAAAATATTTGTAGAAAGACAGAGGGACGCCACATCACATCTATGAGAAGATGACTAGAGTCGAGATGCCAGGTCAGGATCTATTACATTGCAGATCCGTCTCTGGATTTTGTCGAGGACCTCGAGATGAACAGAGGGAGGGGGCACCAGACCGTATATGACAACAGTATTCAATGCAGGGACGAATGGTAGATTTGTAGATTTGATGCATGGAATCAAGCGAGAAAAACTTTCTGACGCGACACAGAGAACCAAATTTCTTTCCCCATTGCAAGGATTTTAATCGGCATTCATAAAATTTCGACAGGAGATAAAATATGAGAAGGAAGGAAATTATTTTTGCTTGGAATAGTACGAAAACTCTAGCAGTTCTTAATCCCATTTTGGTCGACAGTGCTGTGAAAAACATTGGTTACTGAATAATTAGATTTGCCGCGTTCAGCCAAACAATATCTCTTCGTGACATATACAAAACACTTGAAATATTAAGCTAAATGAACACTCTCATCTCTTTACGACGTGTTGTATTGTTGATTCTATTGATGTAGCAGACAAGAATACATGCCCCCCCTTCCCATTAAGTGGTGTTTACGATTTCCTAATTAAATACATATGTCTTCCGTTTTTACTTCAAGACATCAATTTATGATGGAGCGTCTGTTGGCCTAGTTTTCTAATTTCAACTCCGGTGTTTTCAAGTTTAGTTATTCATTTTATTTTATTTTATTTTTTTTTCATATTCAGCAATTTTGGAAGTTTCAAGTATAAACATCACCACTAATATATATATATATATATATATATATATATATATATATGTGTGTCTGTGGGTGTTATGTAGTATTTTGAATATATATATATATATATATATATATATATATATATATATATATATATTAAAATAGTATGTCTTTGCAGCAATCACTCGTTTTTACATGCTTATTAAGCGTGTGGTTATATATATGTGTGTGTGTGTGTGTGCGTCCGCACGCACGTCTGTGTCGGTGCGTATGTGTACGTTTTTGAGTACTATATCTAAATACATACATACATGCATACACACACACACACACATATATATATATATATATATATATTAAAATTATTATATTTAGGCCGCAATGCTTCGTTTGACATGTATTAAGCATTGTGTATTTAAGCAGCAATCCTTCTCTCATGCAGATTTCATTGAATACGACAGACTTTGATTTAGTTTTATATATATATATATATATATATATATATATTATAAATTAACTGATTTAAAATATGGTTTCTTCCCTATACAGTAATAACCATGTTTCAAAAACCGTAGCTAAAAACTTCAAATTTAATTATATAATTAAATTAAAAGTATTAGTTCTGTTTCATTTTCAAGCGAATTTTGGAATAACTTATTTTTAAATTTACTGAATTTTAAACGCACATATAAATTTATAATTTCCTCTTTCCAAGGATACAGAGAAATCCAGTCATTCAGACAAGGGCGGTGGTGTGTTCATTTTTATTAACTATTGTTGTCTCAATTATGAGTTACGTTCGAAAAGAGTTACATAATTTTTGTTTATCTTCATTTATTTTTATTTTTCTATTATCTAAATTTCTTTGGTTTATTGAAGATATTAGCATTATGTTTCTTAATAATTTTTTCTAAGTTTTCAGTACAGCTGTAACTTATTTTTAGTGTAATTTTATTGAAAATAGTGCTTAGTTTACTTTCTCTGCTTAACTATTAATGCAAGGAATTTTTGTCCTAATTTGTTTTTTACCATTTGATTGTATGGGGGTGTATACCAAATTAATTTTCTACTTCGATTTTTCTATGCTTTCCATTTTCCTTTTTTATATAAGTTAGTTTTGGGCTTTTGTAGCCACTATCTTTTAGAGCTTTATTATAGAAATTAATATGTTCAAAGAAAATCTTCTCATTTGCTGCATTTGTACTTATTCTTTTTTCGATAGATAAAGGTATATGCTTAATTATAGATGGAGGATGATTTTATTTAGGGTGTATATATAAAGGATTGGTATTGGGTTTTTTATAAAGTATGTATACATTTCTCATTAAATCGAATGTTATATCAAGGAAGTTAACTTTTTTTTAATTTAGTGCTTACCTTAATTTTTAAGTTCAGGCTTTTAAATCCTTTCTATAATATCTTTCCAATTCTATCAATTTTAAAGTTAGTAGAATTCTTTATAACCATAAGTCCATCGTCTCTGTATAAACCAATGTCAGTTATATTAATTTCGCGATACGCTGTGAGATTGTATAATATAAAAAGACCTATAATATCAGAAGACTCAGCTGAGTCTAGTGATCCCATTGTAATGTCAAAGAGGCCATAAGAATTTTTTATCCATTGCTCACCTTTATGTATCAGTACCGATTTTTTCGAATTTATAATACTGTTCTTTTCTTCTCCTGTAATACCCATGTAGTGGGTGGTAAAATCCAACGCATTCATGAAGAGTTCTTTAGATATTGATTGATAATAATTTTCAATATCAAACTGCATTAGTGCACAGTTCGTTTTATATAAATATCAGCAAACCAGTTTGTCACGTCTTTGGTATTAATCCAAAGTTTCAGGCCTATTTTTCTTTAATTTGTTGATTTAACCTTTCAAGCATCATTTTATTAATTTTTCCGATCTCAGGTCTTGTTGGGTTTATTATTCTTGTAGTCGGATTAGCCTCGAAATCTGGTTTGTGGTCATTTAAGGTTATATAACACTCTTTTTCATTTAGTTTACCTACTCTATCACTAATCTTCAGTTTGTCTGTGATTTTTTATTGCTAGTATTCAAAACCATATTGAGGTAATTATTATTTGCCTTTATATATATATATATATATATATATATATATATATGTGTGTGTGTGTGTGTGTATTTCGTTTAGACATGTTCTGTTATGCATATCGGAGTAATTTAACAGTTTTCGGCATGAAAATTGGAATCGAATTCCAGCCTAGCCTATCGCATTCGCTTTGGAAAAGGCATGAGCTCATCTTTTTCCCCAATCCATGGATTAAATAGCAAGGTAGATTGGTCTTTCCAGCCTTGGGAGTTGCCCAGTATAGGAGAACGACTACTTTGAATTAAAAAAATCATGCAGAAGTCAACTGAAAAACAAACACACCCACTTAAATACATTAAAAACGAGAGAAATTCACAGATAAAAATGGAAAGGAAGCTGCCACGATTAACAACATCGCATTAAAAAAAGTAAATGTATGTTGACGGGGGAAACCTATAAATGGACATGTTGAAATTAATTGTGTTCTGAGTTCATTCGAACATCTTTTATCATTTTAAAGGGAAGGATAATACGAGAGCTTGTCAGTATAACGTTTCTGTTATTAACGGTTCAAAGTTTGAAATTAATATAAGTTCACATGTTATGATTGAAATGAATCTTGGCTCATATGCTATGATTGAAATGAACATTGTTGGACATGATATAATTGAAATGAATACACTCGCTGTAGTGATCATACTCCCGAGCGCTTTCATTTGCTACTTTCTGGTTCTTTCTTTCTTTCCTTCTTTCTTTCTTTCTTTCCTTCTTTCTTTCTTTCTTTCTTTCTTTCTCATTATTTTTTGCTTCTTTCTTTCTTTGTGTTTTTTTTCTCTTTATTTCCGCTGCTTTCATTCTATCTAACTGTATTTCTTTTTCATTTCTTTGTCGTTCTTCATTTTTGATTTCTTTCTTTCTTTCTTTCTTTCTTTCTTTCTTTTATTTTTTTCTTCTTTTTTTCTTTTATCTTTTTTCATTTTCTTTCTTTCTCGAACATTCTTTCTTGCACTTTCTTTCTTTCTTTCACTTTCTTTATTTTCTGTTTGTTTGTTTTTCTTTCTCTTTCTTTTTATCTTTTTTTTCTTTCTCTTTATTTCTGGTACTTTTTCTCAGCTTACTTGTCTTTGATTTTTTCTTTCTTTCTCGTTCTTTTTTTTTTGTTTGCTTATGTCTTTCTTTTACCTTTTTCTAGAACTTTCTTTTTTTCTAGAACTTTCTTTTTCTTTCATGAGGACTAAGAGTTCGTAGACACTCTCTCTTGAGATCATACTATCAACCGTTTTCGATTGATATTTTCGGGATCTTTATCTTTTTTTATTTTCTGTTTGTTTCTTTTTTTTTAGTTCTTCCTTTTATCTTTTTCTTTCTCTTTCTTTCTTTCTTTTATGAAGACTAAGAGTGTCTAAAAACTCTCTGTAGAGACTCATACTCCCGAGCGCTTTCGGTTGACATTTCTGGTTCTTTCTTTCTTTCTTTCTTTCTTTCTTTCTTTCTTCTTTCTTTCTTTCTTTCTTTTTTATTTGTTTATTTCTTCATTTTAACTTTTTCTTTCTTCTTTCCCATTCTTTTTGTTTGTTTATTTTTTTCTTATTTTTTCATTTTATCATTTTCTTTTCTTTTCTTTCTTTCTTTCTTTTATGAAGACTAACAGTCGGTCAGTCAGTTATGTGTCATACGTGATGCACGCTGTGGTCATGTATCTTTCGATACATGACTGACGAGACAGATTTTTCCCGCATTAGGTTGCTATTTCTTTCTGCGGTAGACCAGTAGCCATCCAAGGCTATAGAACACCTGTCCTGCTATTTACCCATAGCTGGGTGGAAAAGAAGAGGATTCATACCTTCCCCTGAGGCATTTGGCACGTAATGAATATAATGGATTCGATTGGAATTCGATCTCGGCTCTCGGATTCCTCAATCCGAGCCGCTATCCATTACTCCAAACTGTCTGTAGAGGATCATATTCTTGAGTGCTTTCGATTGATACTTTGGCTCTTTCCAGTAAGGTGTTTGGGATGCTAATAACAACAAAAATTAACACCCAGTCGACTTGAAAATGGCTGAAGTATTTGCCGAAAGGTTTTGGGACAATAATCATTATCAAAAATTCTAGAAACTCTAAGGGCACTAGAAAAACTGAATAAAAAAATTCCTTGTCCATCGCATATATATATATATATATATATATATGTGTGTGTGTGTGTGTGTGTGTGTGTGTGTGTGTGTGTGTGTGTGTGTGTATAGCTGGCCACTCGTTTTAGGGCGGCTATCCAATCCGTTTGGTTAGAACATCGGCATTCTGACCATGAGACCCGGGTTCGAATCTCACCATGTTCGATTGTCAGGAAGGAGACTTGCTAATGTTATCCGGCTGGAAGGGTCGATTCCAGCATGTAGCAACTTTGAAGTGCCTGAAAACCATAACACGGGTTGATTCAAGCCTTGTGAGTAAAATTTGGTAGACGGATCCCTTGGGGGGCCGTCAATAGCTGTGCTAGCACGAAGTCACAAGTCATCGTGACAGAGGGCTTAAGCGCGCTGGCCTTGTTCAAATTTTTGGTGTCGCTAGATAACACGCTCTTTCCCAGAAACTGTAACTAAGTTCTATTCAGCATAGTTGTAGTATAAACGACAGGTGATCTTTGTGGGTGTTGGATAAACACAAATGCGTTTTAACAATATATATATATATATATATATATATATATATATATATATATATATATATATATATAAGGTTTTCAAAAAAAGAATGAACCGATTTCATTACGCAATAAGAAAAGCAATAGAAAACTTTATTTCCTGTGTTGCAAGAGTTCAATGTGGCTACTACCTGCAGCACGGGCAACATCAGTGCGATGAGCGAATTCCCACCAGGCGCGTATCAGAATATCATGATTCACTGAGTTGATCGCTGCTGTTATTCGGTGTTTATGGTCATGGAGGTTAGTGGACAGTGGTAGAACATAGACGCGATCTTTTTTTTATCTCCACAAGAAAAAAAACACACGCGGTGAGGCCTGGGTATCTCGCAGGCTAAGCACAAACATCAAGGTCTTGGTAAGTACCTGAACGAGGCGTAGTCTCTAAGGTTTCAAATGTAGACGTCTTTTTCGCACAAGCCAGATGAGAGATCGCAAGCTTACGGCTAGCTCGATTTGGGAACTTCAAACGCAGCACGGATTCTCGCCACGTGTTCCTCCGAAACTCGTAGTCGTCCTGGACTTTTCCTTTTACACATTCCGGGGGTAAACAAATAACTGAACGTCGCCGAAGATACGACGCGACTACAATGTGGCAGTTATTCAAAACTTTAAAAAATCTTTTAAATGGTTACTGACTCATTCCATGACGATGCTTGAGAACTGAAGCAATGCATCTTGAAATGGGTTTATTCTTTTTTAATAACCCTATATATATATATATATATATATATGTGTGTGTGTGTGTGTGTGTGTGTGTGTGTGTGTGTGTGTGTGTATCTGTGCGTGTGTGTGTGTTTATACTTATCGTGTGTATAAATATATCATGATCTTTATTTGTCAGCGATCTTTTCATATTTTAGGGATCCTATTTCTGTGTTATTAGCAGCAACTAGTTTGTTTATTCTACAGAAGGATGGTGAGGATACTTGGTCTGTGTATGCGAGCAGCGACGAAGTTTTAGAGAAAATGAAAAAAAATAAGGAAACTTATAATTAACATCAGGAAGAGACAGTTGAAATTTCTAGGACAGATAATGAGGAAAGAGGACTTGGAAAATCTGATACTCACAAGACAGAGAACAAGCGGGACAGAGGAAAACAACGCATAACATACTTAGGGTGCTTCATCAAATGGATGGTGCAACAAGTTTTAGGAGAAATAAGAGAAAGACAAAATTCATTAAGAGCTACAAAGCATGGGAAATCGTGGGGAGTCATGATCGGCTCCGTGCTGAGGGTTATACAGCACATAAAGAAGATTTTTGTTAACGTGTGTTTGTGTGGTACGCTTTTTTGTTAGCTTCTCGTATTTTTTTGATTGCAACGAACACTCGTTGCCATTTTTGTGATGCCAACGAATACACGTTGTTACTTTCGTAATACTCGTTGTAGTAGAGACTTTGTAATCGCAGATGCAACTATAGCAACTATAGTAATCCAAATAGAATAATAGTATAGACAATAGCAGTCCGAATAGTAATAGAGGATAGAGTAGAACTGGTGTTCCGTATAGTATAGAGGATAGACTAGGAATAGCGATCACCCAGTCGTCACAATACTGTCTATTTATGGGTTTCTCCCATGGTCACGTGATCCACTTAATTCAATAACGGGATCGCCTGTTCGCCTCACTGGCGATCTATGTTCAAACTAAAGTGTCGGCAGCGACACTTTATTCCTATATAACACCCATACTTATATTTTTTTTCTGGTTGGTATTGGTAAATAAAATTTGTCTTAATCATGTTTAAGTACTCTCGGCTAGCAGTATATGTATGGACAGATCCAGATGGAACAAACAGAACGAAAAATGACGTGGGAAAGAACTGTGAGCAAAGGAAGAAGAAACATAACCCAGAAGAATAAAATAAGGAAAAAACAGAAAAAAAAAAACCCTATTGCGAATTTGTTTAATATTCAATATTTATTCATTTAAAAAAAAGTAATGCTTATTAAAAGCTGAAGCCACTTATAACGAATACTTGTTCATTGGCCAGATAAGATAATCTCCTATCTTTAATAACATTTATATCTGACAAAGCTGATCTTGTAACATTTTATAGAGACAAATCGGCTTCAATGTCTGTGTAGTCATTTATGTAGATCATCTGCCCAACTTTAGAACAAGGTTTCATATCAAACCTAATTTAAGACGAGAGTGCAGATGTTCATACGTTCATAATAATTTCCTTGTTTTCTCGTTTGATGACTGCTTCAATAAATATTTCAAGTGGCCTTTTTTGTAGATCTAGAAAAGTACAAACTACATCTTTTTATATAATTGAAAAAGAAAAACTATTAAGAAATTCGAGATAAAAACGCCATCGTTACTTGCATTCTCTACATTATTTGAACTGTTATCCTCGTCTTCATTGCCATATTCACAACGTTTCGGCTGTTGTAGGCTCCAACCTTCGTCAGGTGAATGGAATTTCGAACTGAACCCTTTATTTCGTCCACCAGAGTAGATTGTTTTAGTTCCACATGTCATGACTCTTTCAGATACTTCGGTTATTTCCCTTTACGTCTAATCTCCAAGTTTTGGTTCACCACTGTTGGCTTTATTGACTGGGCCATATGTCCTTGCTTTATTCTATGTTTCTTTTTTTTTCTCCCTCATTTTATTCTTTTCTTTTTTTGTCCTTTATTTTTTGTTTCTTTCTCTTATTTTTTTCTTTCTCTTTCTTTCTACTTTTTTTTTTTATTTCTGCCAAACATTTTTTCTTCCCCGTTTTTTGCTTGTTTTCTTCTTTCTTTGTTTTTTCTTTCAATTATCTTTGTCTTTCTTTCTAGTGCTTTCTTTCTTCTTCGTCCTTTTTTCTTTTGCTTGTTTCTTTATTATTTTTCTTTATAATGTTTTTTCTTGTTCTTTTTTGTTTTTTTCTACATTTATTTATTTTATATTTTGTCTTTCTCTTTCTTTCTTTTTTTTCTTTCTTCCTTTCTTTTTTTTCTTTATTTCTTTCATTAATATTTCCTTTCTAATGCTTTCTTCCTTTTTGGTTTATTTATTTCAACATTTTCCTTTCTGTTATCTTTTTCCTTCCCTTTTTTTCTTCTTTCTTTCTTTCTTTCTTTCTTTCTTGTTTTTTTCCTTTGTTTCTTTCATTAACAGTTCATTATCAGTTTCTTTTTAATGCATTTTTCTTTCTTTTCGTTTTTTTTTTTGTTTTTGTTTCTTTAATATTTTCTTTTTTCTTTCTAATGCTTTCTTTCTTTTTTGGTTTATTTATTTCTTTATTTTCTTTCTGTTTTTCTTCCATTCTTTCTTTCTTTCTTTCTTCCTTTCTTTCTTTCTTTCTTTCTTTCTTTCTTTCTTTCTTTCTTTCTTGTCCTTCTGACCTCCCTCTATTTTGCTTCTCTCTCCTTTCCGGCCCGCTTCACATATTTATTCACACTTGCCTGAAAAGGAACTTATACATCAGGCGATCGACTATTCTTGATAAACTTCATGGGCAAAAACCCAAATACAAAAAAAACCTTTGTTTTCATTAAACTTCCAAATGTGTTTCCAAATTTCATCTAAAACTTTTCACACAAAAACTTCGTTTTCTCTGAAACAAACAAAAATAGATAAACATGCAAGTCGTGCAAGTGTCTGCAGTTAGGCTATTTATGGCTTCTAAAGTTGGAAAAATAAATTAAGTCAACGTGTTTCGAAAGATAAATATTTTGCGTCATATAAAAAGCTCTTTTAACAATGTAATTCGACAATAATTATAAAATAAATAAATTCTTTTGGACTGCAGATGCATTTTGTTGTTACGGCATTTGTTCCAGGGTTAGAGTAGGGAACTGAAAGTTAAGACGAAAGCTAAGATAAAATTTCTATAGGGAACTGAAAGTTAAGACGAAAGCGAAAATGAAATTTCTATAGGGAACTGAAACTTAAAAAGAAAGCTAAAATGAAATTTCTATAGGGAACTGAAAGTTAAAACGAAA